TCTTATTAATACATTTCCTTTCATTTTTTAACTTGTTACACAAACTGCATCAGCACTGAAGTCTTACATTATTATTTTTGTATATTAATGTATCATAAACACAGAAAATATATATTAGAAGATCGCGTAGTACTTACATTTACACTAATATATCTAATAGAGTCGTATATTATTTTTTTAATTAATGATTTAATTATTACAAGATTTTTCCCCTCATGTCCTAATACAGTTCAAATTCTTAATGTAATTATTTTGTAAAAACTATTCATACCATATTTAGCCTGTTTCAGACATTTGCAATATTTCTGAAATCTTGCATTAATATTGCAAGTTATGGAATAAGAGGTATTTATACAGATGTGATAACATCTTGACATATGTCTTCTCTTTTATATGCGAAAGGTTTCTTCATAATCGAGGAAACCTTTTGTTGTAATTGAGGGATCGTTAGCATGCATTCAATGTATTCAGGCGTAATTTGTGACCTTCCTTTGCAGTGTAGCTCTTTTGTGAGCTGGCACCTTGAAAATATAATGCTCTGGGTTTTCCCCACATACGCACTTGTCTGAATCGCTCAAATTTCGTGTAAGTAGTACGTGGGGAAAGGACCATGTCCAGATAAGAATATGTTGATGAAGAAGTTATATGAGATTGGATCATATGTGGGTTTCTTGTAGAAGTTAAAAAGCCTTCTACCTACTTCTGCATTTTCCCATTCAGCTTGCCATTTCTTTAATGTAAATTTTTTCAACATATGTTTCGTATACGATTTAGGGAATGGGACATTGACTGGAGGTAGAGATGGGTCTTGAGCTGCATTCTTAGCAAGCGCATCTGCCCTTTCATTTTGGGCTTGTCCAGCATGCGCTTTTACCCACTTTATTTTTATAGATGTTCTGTTGTGCTGTGATATTAAATCGTAGATATCTTGTACTATTGATGATTCGTTTCTTGCATCACTGACAGCTTTAATTGCCGCTTGACTATCACTGTAGATGGTAACATATGTTAGATGCTTTTGATGAGACCATAGAATAGCGTGTTTTATGGCTGAAAGCTCAGCTTGGAAAACGCTGTTGTTGTTCCTTAGGTGTCCTTTCCCTCCATCTGTTGTTTCTTGTTCTGAGAGGAGTGCAAAGAACGCGTCATCCTACTTCTTCGTTTAACTTTGACCCATCTGTGTACACGACTGCAAATGAAGGTACACTGAGGGTGTCTTCTTTTGTAGATATTCTGAGTTTTGCATGTACTGCAGGGTGTCTTAGGTAAGGATTTCGTGGCTGTTCAAAATCAAGGGGGCACAGGTATTGATCTTCGACCTATATGTTTTTCTTGAGGTGGAATAACATGGCTAAGTCTGCATCTTCTTTTGCTTTCAGATGGAGGGGTGGGATTCCTGTTAATACAGAGAGAGCTGCGGTTGAGGTAGTTCTGTATGCTTTTGCTATTTGTAAGAGGAAGGGGCGTTGGATCGAAGCTAAGAGTCTTTTCTTTTTCACTGTAATAGGGTGTGAGCCCATGCCGATGCCCCGTAGAGGATTATTTTTTCGATCACGGTATTATAAAGAATGTTTTGCATCCTCGACTTGAGGCCCCACGTTGTGCCTTGCATCCTTGCGAGGGCTCTAGAAATAGTTTGGGTCTTCTTCCGAATTTCCATGAGGTGTGGGATCCAAGAAAACTTTTGTTCAATTTTCAATCCAAGAAAATTTGATTTCTTTTGAGATCTTGATTCTTCTATTATTGATTTTAATGCAAGGTAGCCTTTGTAGCGATTTGCCTGGTTTTGGAAATAAAATAATATGTGATTTGGGCTCTGAAATTATTAGTTTTTGATTGACGCAGAGGGAATGGAATATGGAGAGAGTCTCGTTACTATTCTTTTCTAGTATGTCTCTTGAATGCCCATTTGTTACAAAGGCCACATTGTCGGCAAAGGCGATGAGCTTTGTATGGTCCGGCTACTTGTAGGAGGAGATATAATTGAAAGTGATGTTCCACAGGTCTGCACTTAGACAAGAGCCCTGTGGACAGCCCCTTGTTATTCTTCTTTCTACTATACTATTGTTGCTGATGATTATCGTTGCTCTGTTTGTTAGGAAACTATTCATTAGCTTGAATATGTTCTGAGGGCATTTAATGTTGCGCAAGGCTTCAAGGATACCAGGCCACCACACGGAGTCAAACGCATTTTTGAGATCCATACAGAGTACTGCTGTATGGAGAGCTGAAGATTTATTCCTACGGATCTGCTCTTGAAGTTCTGCTATCGCATGTGATGTAGATTTGAGAGGTCTGAAGCCGTATTGGTTGGGGCTTATGGTACCGTTTTTCTCTAAGTGGTGGCGTAATCTGCCCGCGATTGCACGTTCCAGAAGTTTACCTATTGCAGGTAAGAGGTTGATTGGTCTGAAGGCTTCCGGATCTGTATTATTTTTCTTGCTGAATAGTATTGTTTGTCCCTGTTTGAGACAATTCGGGAAGACATAAAATTTGAGGCAGAGGTTTAGTAGTTTGTGGAACAGAAAATGCATTGCGTGGTGAATTATCTTAATAATCCTGTTGTCTAATCCGTCAGGTCCCGGAGTTTTATTATTCGGAAGATACTTAAAATTTTTGAAATTTCTTGTGAGTGGAATTCCACATCGTCTGGAGTATTTGGAGCGGTATTATTGTATCTAATATCGGAATGTAGTGGCCATCGTCGTCTGCATTATCTTTTAGGAAGACAGCATCTAAAATATTGTTGAGAATCTTTTCAGTGACATTACCAAGCTGGCTGTTACGTGAGAGTTGATCTTTCGGAAGACCGATATGTGCGGGACTGAAAACTTTACTTGTAGCCATTTTATACAGCTGGCCATATGTATCTTTATTATTACAGCAGTAATGCTTCCAGCTGCGTAATTTTGCTTCAGTTAATTTCTTTTTGTAATTTGCTAATTGTTGCTTGTATTTTGTATTTTATGCATATTTCCATTTTCAACCCTTTCGGAGCACTTTTCATTTTTCTACGAAAGGCCTTTGTATGTTGCTTTTCACGTCTTAATTCCTTTGTCCACCGGTTAGTCTTCGTAATCTTGTTGTTCTTACGAAGTTTAAATGTGTTGGTCGCTGTCTCCTGTATTGTTTTGATAATTGTTTCCATTAAATCATGGACTGCATCGGGTGATGTGCATTTATCTATAAGTTTCTCCGCATACTGAAGACATGTGGAGATTTTTCTTCCAAATTGCCTTGCTTTTTAATTTGAGATTGAAAATCTTCTTAATTTGAGGTCGGGGATTTCTTCTGATAATTCAAATGAGATGTAGTTATGATCTGAGTGGCTTGGGTCATCAAGAACTTTACATTCTTGTATTTTATTGGAGATACTCAATGTTGACAGTGTCAAGTCTGGCCATCCTTTACCATTTTTTGTTTCAAATGTAGGAGTGTCTGAAGAGAGGTTATGTATATACAGATTGTGTGTAGCAATAAAGTCAGCTAGTGTATGTCCTCTATTATCTGTATTATTGTAATGCCACATTTGATGGTGAGCATTGAAGTCACATGTAATCACGTGCTGTGATCTTCTGAGATTACTAAAGATATTTTCTAATCTGTGGAGATTCGGCTTCATATCCTCTCGTGGTGAGCAGTAAATGGAAGTAATTAATAGCTGTTCAGATTTACAGTTAATACATATCGTAATCACATCTCTATGGCTTAATATAATTGTAGGGGACCATTTGGTATTGGTGACTATAATACTGGCACGTGGGTTAACTAGAGGATCTTTTTCAGTAGATTGAAATATTTGCCAGTGAAGGGGAAGGCATCTAACTTCACCTTTTACGCAATACGGCTCAGTAATGCAAATTACATCATGATTGTTATTTTCAATTACTTCACTAAGTTGTTCTGAAGCCTTTTTTCCTCTGCCTAAGTTTATTTGAAGGATTCTAAGCTTGTCCTGTGGAGGCGAAATTATTGTGTAAAATTGTCGTAAACAGTTGAAATTGAGGAATTGAAGGGGCGGCGGTAGTACTTGATGGATCCATGTACAGAAAGGGAAGTATAAATTAACTTAAAGGAAACTAGGTATAACTAAAAAGAAACTAGGGTAACTTAAAAGAAACTAGGTAAAGTTAACTAAAAGAAACTAGTAGTAAACTAACTATTCTTCTTGCTTTGAATGTGTATACTGCAGTAGCTTTAATTTTTGAGATTTCCCTCTGATGTAATGGGCATTTGGGGGAGAATGCAGCATGTGAAGTATTGATGTAGGTTCCATATGTGCAGTTAAACAGTTTACAGTTGATACAATCCGGTACGTCTTCTTTGCAATTCCTTATGGAGTGAGGTCCGCCACAGAAAGCGCAATAAGTCCTATATTTGCATGTACTACCAGAATGTGAGAAATCTTGGCATCTGTGTGAGAAATCTTGGCATCTACGGAGTGAGCATCTCCTCACTCCGTAGAATTCTGCGATTGGGAGAGTGCTCCAATTAATTATAATTTTGCTACGTTCAATACATTTTGATAGAGTACGAGGGGAGCATTCGAGAACCCACTTAATGGTGTTGGGGTTTTTGCCTTTTGTGTAAAAGAGAGGGGAAATCCCTCTTTATCAATCCTTAGTTGGTCAACTAGTTCTTCGAGAACTAATTTTGGTGGTAATGCATTCGGGATATTATTGATTGAGATTTTCTGTTTTTTAACCCTTGGTGTTTTTATTTCTATTAAGTTATTTGCATTTATACCTTGTATTTATCAGTAGAAATATCAGTTACCAACGCATACTACATATTTTGCTTGCTAGTATGCTAAAATTATATTATGAAAATATTAGACATGATAACTTACAATCAGCAAATTATTTTTTTCCTTAACATAATTAAAGGATAAATATTGTTATATGTTAAAATTCTGTAACTGTGCAATATTTCTTGAACTACAAGGCGTTTAAAGAAGCAAAAATAATCTTTGGCTTGTTAAAGGTATTATAGTGTTATACCAGTATCGATGAAGTCCTAAATGGCAAAGACGTGGTAGAGGAAAATGGCATGTTTTGCATGCTTGTGAAATGCTTTATGTCATGCTCTACTGAATCTGCTCCAATATCTTCATCTTCTGCTGACATCCGTAGTGGAAGGACTAGATTAATTACCTGAAAAATATAAGTGATGTTTCAGGAAATATTATTATTAGACATTTTTTCATACATAAATTCACTCTATTTAGCACCTTATTTCTTAAAATCATCTATGAAGTGCACTGCTAATTAACCGGCTTTTATTGCTATGGACTTAGCACCATTTAAAACGAAAAATATAGAAAACAGCGTTTACAGGTTATAAATCAGATTCAAAAAGTATGCGTATATGTAGTATATATAAATGTATGTAAATGCATTTATATAATTTTAAAAAAAATCAGTAATTTTCATTTGCTATTTTGATTTATTTTTTATTTTCAAGGAAACTGACGCCACTTTTTCATAAACATAATGTAAATGCAGATGAACTTCTTTACATTTTGATCTATAATTGTTCAATGTATATCCATAAATTATTGATAATAACTTTCCCGATAATTGTCATTAAATTCATTTTTAGGATTTTTCATAGGGTAGTTCCTTTACAGCATATTTTCCGGTTCTATTGGCTTACTAAAAACTTGAAATGATTTCCGGTTTCTCGACGCACAAAAACCTACTTCTGAGCGGGTGTCTAAGAACAGAATATGTAAATAAGACGAATGCGATCATATCTTAAAAGGAAATAAATATGTTAGAGCGTTTGTCTTGGTTAAACATAATATACAAGATTACAATAATATACAATAGTCAAATATTGTTAATTATAAATGATAGACGTCTTTTAGATGAAGGCCGGAAATGGCATAATGATCCTTTGGCTCAAAGCGAGTGAAATCATGGAGGTAGGCAATATGAGGAGAGCCCCAAACTGCAACCCAGCAAGCGAATCCTCGGCGGCCATATTTCTCCGACCGCTGTCATAGTAACTCTTATTTTTATTTTATTGTTATTTTTTTTGGAAGAACGTGATATCGTGTTGCATACAGATGCACGGATAGACCGTCTAAAAAGATTCCTGGTATTATTTTTAATTGAATTTAATAAATTTGTTTAAAAATATTACCGCTCTAATTTCTATTCCATATGTAAAAAAATAGGACTTAGTAGTAATCAAATTTTATTAAATATATTTTTCTGTTTCCATTTATAATTAATATTAATGTTCCTCAACTTGCGATGATATATGCTAGGATTTAAACTGTGCTATTTGAACTTTTTAAAGAACTTGTCAATAATTTTCATGACAATGAAGAAATTGATTTTTGTTACTTTTAGGAATTGCAAAAGTATTAAGTATAGTAACTCTCCTTCTTTATGTATTATTTATTACGCATTTTTATGTATTGTGAACTACTATGAATATAATTTGCTCATTTATTCAATACAAACTGTTCTAATGTTGAAAATTGTTTGTATAAAATGGGCCTAAGCCTAAAACTCCTAATAAATAATAATAAATAATATAATAACTCCTAATAAACTCCTAATAAAACTTCCTAATAAATCTAAAATTATGACAATTAAAAGAAAGCATGTCAGCTATACAAACCAACAACTGTACTTGGATAATACCTTACTCGAAACGGTGAATGAAATTAAATATTTAGGCGTTATTCTTGATCATAAGTTTTGTTGGAAAAATCATATTATGTATTTATCCAATAAGTGTGAAAATATACTTAGAGGACTTAATCGTGTCTCTTGCAATACTTTTGGTTTAAAAGTTAATGTTATTGATATGATTTATAAGCAGGGTATTGTCCCCTTTATTTGCTATGCTTCTAGAGTGTGGGGAACAGCTTTAGAAAAGAAGATTAATTCCCGTATACTTCGCAGAATTCAAAGAAGAATTTTACTAAGAGTTGTGCGTGGCTACAGAACAATTAGCTATGAAGCCTGTTTCGCAATTTCAGGATTTCCTCCGATTGACCTTCATGTTTTGAATGACAAAAAGTTTAAAGATACCATCAGCAAATTTATGTTCGATGCCAAGGTGTTGTTTTTGAAGATCTTCCTCATCCTGCCAATCGTTTGCCAATTCAAACTATCATTTATGACAATTCTGTTGATGATAATTTCCCTGTTGTGTGTTATACAGATGGCAGTAAAATTAATAATCGAGTTGGATTAGCTTATGTCGTTTCCCATAATGGTTCTGAACTGGAATACAAACTCTTTAGAATTCCCAATGAATGCAGTGTTTTCCAAGCCGAATTACTGTGCATTAGTGAGTCAATTAAGTGGATATCTAACAACTGTTCGCTAAGTGCTAAATTTACTATGTGGTGCACAAGGATTTAAAATTTTCAATTAAAAAAAAAAAAAAAGCCTAAAACTAATAAATTTTTGTTCAATATAGCGATAAGAGTAAATAAAATATTTACCATAATTGAATGTTTAAAAAAATTTATCCAATAATTTATATACTTAATATCTTTAATTGAATTTCTTTAACAGAAATTTATACATATGAAACAAGTATAAAATAAAATCCTCAAATGTACATAAATCTATCTTATTTTGATGTAATATTTATAACTTACTGATGATATGTTACTTATTAAATTTTTAACTGTTAAAACTTTGTGAATTTCAGTATATTACAGCTCAAAGCTGAACTATAAAGCATACTGAAATAAAGTAATTTTCCTATTCCTGAAACGTTTTTATATGAAATAAGTGATTGTTAAATTACTATAATATTGTGAATAAATCAGAACTATCTACTTTTAAAGAAAAAATTTGAAAGCAATAACATTAGTTATACAAATGCATTTAGATTTCACAGTATTTCTTAATAATTTCCTGTAACATTTCCTCTTTCTCATTTATTTCCTTTAAATTATACGTAACATTATTTATAGATACATAGCTTTATTACTTTCAAACAAAAATTTAACAATCCATCTGAATTTCATTGTAAATTTAATCCAATTTTACTTAAAAATACATACACGGAACATCCTAGAAACAAGTACATTTCGTTTTATCTCATAAGCATGGTCGCCGCTTGTTAGGCAGGTTTCATTTCCGATAATGGAAGAATCTGCGAACCCTCCCTCCTTCTATTTTATCCTTCTTGGTTTTCCCCATGCACCCATCCTGGAGACCAAAATATTCAATAACTTGCCATTAAGATCAATAGATTTTGACATGATCGGAGGTAAACATTTGTCATTACGTCGTAAAAATATACTACGTCGTTTTACTAAAATATTTCAGCGTCCTAAGTATGTGATAAAATACATTTTTAAACAACATTTCATTCTGAACGGGATTAAACGCTATACTTTTCCCAGAACAGTAAGATTATAACAGTTTTAATTTGAATGAAATATTTTTACAAATTTTCGTTAATTACATCAGAAAGAAATTTTAAGACATTTCGATTTTATTTGGTTAACTGTTACAAAAATTAAAGTTTATTACATTATTAACACTAAATTACACATTATTTCTTTTCTATTTACAGAGCTTCTTTCTGAAACACTTTCTCAAATATGAGATGATTTCTAGCTTCTGGTGGATCTTTGAAATCAAAGATCAGAGTCACTTTATAGTTGATGCTCTGTTCAGTTCATTTCAAAAAAGAGCACCTTTTATTTTAATAGTGAATTACTCTAAATGTTGCTGTTGATTATGACTGTTTCTGAAAAAAGTAAAAGAAGAAGTTCTCCCCAAACTCTCTTAATTTCAACAATACATATTCTAAAATTTCTACTTTACTTCCTTAAGTACCCATCTCGTAGATTGTGCTTTACAACACCTTTTAATAGATTGTTTACCAGTGCGAACAATTTCTGCTTAAATAGTTTTATAAATATATTTGTCAACAGTATTTCAATTTATGTTTACAATTAAATAATATTCATAATCATTATAAATTTAGACATGTTTAGAAACTAGATTTCTTCACAATGACATTTATAAGTGTTTAAGAATGAATAAACCCTTCATTTCCGAATACATTTATGAATAATTTAATAAGTATTTACGTATTTTGTTAAAGGCAAATACATGCTTTTTACAAGAATATGCATAGATACCCATATATAACCATTACATATTTTTCATTTTCTGTATATGCAAAACTTCATATCTGTACATTGACTATATTTTTTGAGTAAAGTAATTCACAATACTTTAGCATATACCAGACGTTTTGCATAAGAAATATATATAAACGTTAATTGAATGAAAATTACATGCGTTATTTTTTAATACGCACCCAAAGGTCAATATTCGTTCGAAATTCCTCCACGGTTACATCTTTTCAATTAGGCAGATTGCCCTTGCATGCTCTACCCTTTTTAAAGAACTTCACCTGTTATGTGCCTAATTACAAATATTTTAAGATACATAATTTTATATTTAGATTTAAACATCAAGTTTCAAACTTTTGACTTAAAAAACGATTTTAGATACATTCATTATCAAATTCAAATTTTCTTGTAAATATATTTAGGCAGAGCATTTAAAATCTCTCTTAACAATTTTGCCCAGTTTACTAGTTCTCTGACAATATAATAAATCCCAACTATCTATTTCACATTTAAATACTATTAACCTCATTTTCATCAGATCCCAATATTGATTGGCTTACTCTGCATACCAATACTGCTTCATTTCTTAAAACAGTTAAAACAACTAATTGATCTAAATTTACAAATACCTGAAATTTATATATTGCAAGGTAATCCAAAATGAAACGATATGCAAAATGTATTCACATACCTCTTAATAACACTGACAGCACCTTATTTTTAAATTCCTAATACGCTGTCATGATGATGTAGCACGTTCACATGATCACATCATCTTGACGGCACATGGCACATCTGCCGAATTGGCAGATGTTTCTGTATGCAGTGTTACAAAAATATATGGTTACAAATGAAGGATAAGTTAACTTACTAGCATATTTGTCTATATATTTATTAATTTTAGCAAGGATTATGGGATTTGGGGACAATTTTATTTTTCAGTTCAGATAAATAAACCCGAAGAGAATATTTTTATTTATATCAAAATGAAATGATGAGTTTAAAATGAGCAATTATTATGCATCT